ACTGTTTATGTGGCTTAGGTTACATATTTTGTACGATTAGGCAGGTACGTCTCGGGATACGACAGCACTTACCAGCTTGGTTTAGAAAGGGCGAAATGAAAGTGGTAAAACATTCAGTCCTAGAGCACCTAGTAGACATATTGAATCACATACATGCTAATAAAGCTCTGAATATAATTCATAGTATTCCAAAAACGATACCATATGTAGCTCTGCAAAGCCTACTCAACGTAGGCTATCGTAATAAGATTGATGGCACTGGAACTATGCATTCAGAAAGAACATGTCCTAGAGTTACTCCACCATTGACTTTCAGTAAACTCGAGGTCATTCCTATCATTTCCCATCTTTTTTTTCCACTAACACATCATTTATCTGTGTATGTGTGATCCCGAAATTGACAAACTTAAGAAGAAAAATCGCTTTTTGCACAATCCTTAAGTCTCACTGCATTTTGAAAATATATCTACCCGTAACTTGGCTTGATTTCACGCTGTACAAATATATTTTATAATTGTAGAACCTGATGAGAACACTCATTGATCATTGCTTTGATAAGTCGAAAAGAATGTTTCGATTTAGATGGAAGGTAACAAAGATTTAGGTTTATCGAAATTGATGAAGTTGGTAAGACTACTCTTGGGTTAACTATTCAGTCAGTGATAGAACAGACATTGTAGAAAAGATAGCAAACAAATGGGAGAGGGCTGTATAAAATGCTATTCTAGAATTAGTATAAGGGAAACAACATCATGGTTCAGTAAGCGTATGAAAAAGTTAACAGATTTTCATTATATTGAGCAGTAAGATGAAAGAAACAGAAAGTTATGAGGTCATGAAATTTTGTATTTAGATAGTAAGTTGAATAAAACTACCAAGGTAAAGCAAGATTGTCAACAGTATTATCTTTCTGAATACACAGATCAGCTTTGAGTCTTTTGATTGCGACAGCTTCAGCGAACTGCAAAAGGGTTTACTGACCACTTCGAACGATTTTGATATGTTGAGAAATGCAAACAGGAACCCTTCTCTTTGTTTTTCTGATGTATGTGCTGCGGCATGTTCATATGAATTGGTAGATACAGTTAGAGATAACAAGAGTTGGGAACTTGCCAACATTGGATTGTCTCAAGAAGCATTTAGTCTGATACACACAGACTATATTGGTCTCTGGACAGGTCGTTTTATTATCTTCTACAGGATATTCATTTTATCACTGCATACACAGTTAACCCTTGAGTAGTCTTAACAACTTCATCAATTTCCATTTTAGTCTGTCTATTAGAAATATCACTCAGTGAAACAGTAGCATTTACTGGATAACGTTTCGGACAGAATTTATTGTCCATATTCATATCAGGTAACTCCACAACTTCGAGACAGTCTTTGTATATTCCTAGTTTTCTCTCCTTCTCTGTGATGACAAGGGTAGCAGAATTTTCCATATATCTGGGACAGGTGCAGCATCATTTCGATTGCATGTGTTTGGTGTTGATTCGATAAATAAAGATTCGGTTATCAATCTCTCCTTCCACCCAACTAAGTTACTTTTCAATATTGTCGCCCTATCCCACCCTAATGTGTGATCGGGTGTCATCGCATGCAGAGCTATAGCCGAGTTTTTCTCTAGATTTCTTATCTTATTAGGATCTACTGATCTTGATTTAGCTAAGTTTTTGTGCTCTGTTATTCTAATCGACCGTGGTCGACTGCTTTGACCTATGTACTTGACCTCGCAATCATTGTAAGGAATCTGGTAAACCAGATTATTTTGCTTAATTGCATCGATAGGATCTTTTAACCTACAAAGCTTGTTTCTAAGTGAGTTTGTTGGTTTGAATACCACTTTAATCCCAGCCTTATTGAGAATTCTTCGTAGTGCTTCTGAGGTGCCTTCCTTGTATGGTAACACAGCAGAGGCTTTAAATTCTCTCTTAACCCTGTTGCCACTATTAACACTAGTAATGGGATTATTATTAATGACATCTGTATTACTATATATACTACTACTACTACTACTACTACTACTACTACTACTACTACCACTGCTAATATTTTTCTTTCGATTTCTTATGAATTTATTTATAAATCTTGGTGAGTAATTATTGAGACTTAGGATATTCTTGATGTGTCTAACTTCTTGTCGCGGATCTTCCGATCTACTAGTAAGCTTTTTCGCTGTATCACCTAAACATTTAACTAGGCCTACTTTAACTGAACTGGGGTGGTGGGAGGATTCGAAGTCTAAGTAGCGATTCGAATGGGTAGGTTTCCCATAGACACTAGCCTCTAGGTTTCCTTCTTGTGTTCGTTTAATCTTACAATCCAACATTGCTAGCTCACCTTCTTCACTTTCTAAGTCACAGGTAAGTTGGATTGTATTTACTACTGAATTTATATGTGCCAAGAACCTATTGATGTGTTCCGATTTCAGTACTATAAACGTATCACCTAAATATCGGAACCATATCTTTAGAGTAGGACTAAATGTTTGAAGGGCTACCTGTTCCCAACTATCTTTCCCTCCCATACACTTTTGTATACTTAAATATCACTCTTTCTCTACCCGCTCGTACTTTGCATACTGTTGTGAAGCATAGCAGGTCTAACCCATACACTTATGCGAAATTCGTTACGTTGATTTTGTCTACCTTGCTGTTTGTATAGGTACATCCAGCTGTCGAGTTCAGAATGGGACGAAATGCGCATGCTGTATTCCACTCCTAGCCACCATCAAGTAAATCATTTTAAAATAATGTTGCGATTCGCAGTGACTACAAATATGTATCATTCTGTCATAAAAAAGGAATTGAATCATTTTCATGACAGACAGTGGAAATTTCGTAAAGACTTTTGATATAAGTACTGTTGATTATAGTGTCGGGAGTGATGTAGACACGTTAGTCCATGAATGAAACAAATAACTAAAGTCTAATTGTAAAAATGTCATACAACAAGTTATTAGAATGAATTATTACCAGTCATTATTATTCCCACAATAATATTAAAATAACCTAACTAAACGCTTATGAGTAGTATGATAAGGACATTTAAGTTATTTTCTAGTGGCAATTATTGAAAAAGAAGAACAAGAGCGGTAGTAGTAGCACGTAGAGTCTGGTTAAAATCACAATATCCTAAAATTGTTTGTTTGTTTAAAAGTGAATGCATTACAAGTACAAAAAAGCAGTGTAGAATTAACGAACCGTCTTAACAAAAAAATAAATTCCTATAATATATATTCAGAAATAATATGACAAAGGAAGATTAATTGATTGATTCGCGGAAAACAATAACAATTACATCATAAGCGATAAAGTATAAAAAGGTTCATCATTATTCTTAATAAAAGGAATAATAATAAAAGTATTTAAGATAACCGGTAAGTTATAAGGTATAGTTAGTAGTTAGTGAGTAGTATAAAGTGATAATGATAAAAAAAACATTTTCAAAAAGGAGGCTGAAATTATCAAGCAGGTAAAATTAGTATTCATGTGCATACTTGATGATGTTTTGCAGTACGTGATAAATGAATACTCAATTGTCGCATTTTCTCCATGTAACCTTTTAATTCATCGGTTAGTTGTTCACTTTCACCTTCTAATCTCTTTAAATTTGTTAGTATACCTGAAAAATAAGTAGTATATGAATTAAGTAGTAAAGACAACCAGTAGTTAATATTAATGCTGAGCGTGCAGCTCTTCGTACAGTCGGAGAGTACATATTCCGATGCAAATCATAGGTGTGAACTATAGTTGACTTGCAGAACAAAAGAGGTTTCATGCAACTTGTTATTTTCATCGAACGATCGTTTGACAAGGGTCTATATTGTGATGAAAGCTTTCTACAAGTTCAGCATTTGTTATCCTTGTTACATCAAACTGAAATTTACTTTCAGCGTTCACTAGCACAGCAGAAGTTCACATCTCATGTTTCCAACAGACAGGAATTTTTCGGACTCTTAAACCAGTGATAGTCGTATGTCTGTCAGGATATGTCCGACTGTACAAAACGAAATTCATATTGTCTAAGACTCTTCAGCTGAATCCCACATAGACGGAATTGTTTATTGTCCAGCGTCCAATTAATGTATGCAGTGTAGTCCTACAGAAAGTGAATTGTGGGCCGAATAATTCAGTAGAAACGACCCTGATTGTAGCACTGGGTGGTGTGGTTCAAGTCTCTCAAGAGATATTTCATATTTTTCTTTCAATGAAGTTACGGTGGTCTAACACTTTCAGTAATGCTTAGTATCTTTCGAAACAAACGAGTAAACAAACAAATATTACAGACACAATACTTACTTTTAACCTCATCTCTATTCTCCTCTAGAGTGTTGGTGAAATTTTGAACTTCTTCCATCAGTTTAGTTGGATCAGTCAACGTTGTCTCTGGTATACCTTCATCTGTTTCATTTGCCCTATCACCTGCATCTAGAACACGCATTAACTTGTCTAACTCTAATATTTTCTCATCTAATTGTTTGAATGATACCTGTTAGATGAAGAAAGCAAAGCGTAGAACATGTACATTTGTATAGCAGTACGGAAAAGAACAAGAAATAGCTAATATAATCCTGTGTGAAACTTCAAGATAATCTCTTATTTTCCTTTTTTCAAAGACACAACACACCCTAGTTGAATAACATTAGTAATTGGAATTTACTCACGAAAGTAAGAACTACTCAGTAACCGAACAGAGATGATGTAAGTACTGCATGATATCACATTTATGCTCATCAGTTGCGTACCATGACTCATTCAGTCAGAAGAGACAAACTTCTCCTGCAATGTCGGTATTTTTCAGAAATCTTGATGAGTTGGAGCGTTCGCAAACTAATTTTTCTTTACATGGCAGCTAAAATTATGTTCACTTATCTGTTTTACAAGTTAGATATGATGACTTCTGCCTCGGGATCCTTTGAAGGACTTTGACTGATACATGAAGAAATTGACAAGTTAGAAAAGAAAGATGAAAAATGTCTATTTCTTATGAATTTCAGAGGTAAATACATTGCTATTTCAACCAACAATCATATGACCGATTGGTTTACAATAAAATAAGTTCCATACTATTCACTAACTGGATAAATTGTACAATGGATGTCAAGTTAAGACAATGCTCCACGTACATTGTTAAGTGAATTCGGAATAATGTTGATAAAGTTTGTTGAAGTAGAACAAAGAAGTGAAACTAGGATATAAAATCATGGATTCTTATTCTGGTTCTTACAGTGTTACACACAGTATTACTTTGGATTTAAATTTAAGGTTATTTGACAAAAACAATATAAGAAAAATTTTATCTGAACAATGTATGGTGTAATGATGGGCATTAGAATCCAGGATGCACACTTCCTCCTATTTGGGACTCCTCAGCTGGATGTACATGCCTCCTAGTGAGTGATGTTTACCCCACCGGGATTCGAACTCGGGAGCGTTATCCACTACACCACCGAGCCACAATAGCCACTTCCTGTGTGATGGGTATAGTTCTAGTGTTAATCCATGTATTACACCGCCGTCGATTCGACCGAACTGATCAGTCTCTGTTGCCATATGGGCTCCTGTGCGGATGCCTCGATATTTCCTGTGTTTCAATTATGTGTAGTAATGCTGAGAAGTGGCTAGCAGTGTATTTGCGCAGTACATTTCGAACAGCCTAACCACATATTTACTTGGTCCTAATCATGGTAAGAAAACAAAGTTTACTATGCAAGGTAGGTATAGTGTGTAATGAACGATTTGTTTTCCTACACATTAAAGTGGTTTCAATATGTGTGCAATTATCGCTTCCGCAAATTTCAGTATCCGTCCGTGACTGTTTCTATGTAAAACTTTGAAATTTAATTTTGTGATGTGTTTCTGTAATGTCTATAAGTTTTGCGGAAGAAATAGCCTTAGGCGAATTTCAACCACCTTTGTGTATACAAAACAATTTGTTCTTACTCTACGCCTACCTTGGTAAAATTGTTCTATTTGTTCTTCAGTCCTTTTTTTTTATAAATTGACTTGACAATTAAATATCTGATCAGATTGTTTGAAATGTATTGCACAAATATGTGATACAGTGTTCAACCGAAAACTTCATATTGTATTGACACTATCTTAATTCATCTGAGGAACAAATTGTTTGGAAAATAAAGAATTTTAAAAAATGGTACATTACTTTTAGCGAGTCACTTTAAAGTCAGTGGATTCTATTTCGATGAATGTTGAAATCGAGCTGCTTAAAATTTCTTATACGTCAACTAAGGCATGAGTCCAGTATACTTGATTTTAAGAATCGCCAAATATCATCACCGAGTGGCATTATCTACAAAACCACTGAAAACTGGGAGTCACCAAAGAGAAGTTTCATGGAAGATGTTATCATTCAAACAAAAAACAGCTTATATTCACACTGCCAACTCACCTCAACTAGTTCAATCTGTTGTAGTGTATCGAGTGTTTCACGTCTAGCAACATTTGTACTTGATAGCAGATTCTGTGCTATTTCAGATGAATCTTTAACAATATCCGATTGTAAACTGGAGTCGTGAGCGAACATACTAACTTGACTTTTGAACCCGTCAATTCTGTGCGTTAACTACATCGATAAATAGTAATAAAGTACAACTAGAGATGTTGATAAATGAAAACAGAAAAAACCTATCATAAATGAATGATCACAAACTGTTTAATTTTCTTTCAGTAGTATATTACATTGACATATACTTGCTTCGAGATAAAATTTCTCGAAGTTCTGATGACAAGTGGTGACCGGTGAGGCAAAATAAGCCAAACTTAAGTTGAAATACTCACCAATGGCATTGTATTGTTGTAATATGTCGTGCATTGACAATGCTGGCCACATGACATGACTGCACTGCGTTCGATCCCCAGCGGCGCCGTGGGTGTGTACTGCTGCTGCATGTTTTGACATCTACCATTGATTAGCTCAGGGCTTCATCATAGTATTCATTGTTTACCTACAACCTTCTATGAAATCTAGTCTATTCTTTCCTGCCATCATGGCTAGAATATTATCATCCAATCACTAAACTTCAATCCAGTGAATTACACCTAGTTCCATATAACAAGCAGTATGCTCTCACTTACATAAGAATTTTGGAATACTATTGATGATCACCTGATTATTTATATTTCCCACTAAACAACAAACAAATGAAAGAATGACTTCTGAAAGCGTTTGTTTACTGTTAAATAGCCAATCATTTGACCATCTGAGATAGCGGTTGTGGTTTCGCAGACTAGTATCTAAAAACCGGGTGATGACTGAAGGTCAAATAAAAATTTTGACGACGGCCGGATTCTAACCAGCGACCACTGAGTTACCGGGTCGATATGCTACCAACTGAGTTACGAGGTCCAACTGCTGACAAGATTTTTATTTCACTTCAATCGCCAATGGGTTGTACCCAACTACCATGTGAATTCTTGATGCGTCACTATCGCTTGATCGTATTCACACTGTCTGCTGCCTAGTCAGGACTTCTCATCCTAATCCAAATTTAACTGAATCACAGAGGGGGAGCATCACATTAATTATCATTTGACTATCTGAGATAGCTGAAAAAGTTTATTTACTGTTAAATAGGCGTAGAAACATTGATATTGACGTGTAACTTTGAAAATTAACAACAACCAGTGTAGATTCGATAGGTTTAAATTTAATTCTCAATGCTTATTGTTTAAATGTCTTCCAATTGAACATTGAAATATGATTAATATATCATCATAATTAACTCTTTAATATACAAGAAATTAAATTACCGACATTGGATAAAATCATAACTAACCTGTGAGATTTGATCAAATAACTCAATATCATCAACTTTTTGAATGATTGGCTTTTCAGTTAGTTCTTTATAAATTTTATCCGCTTCTTTTAATTGATTTACTTGTTCCATAAAATCCTTAGCTTTATCTCTGAATAGCATTGAAGAAATAGGTATAGAACGGTTAATTTACTTGGGTAAACGCGATAAATATAAAAATGTGGCATGAGGTTTATCAGGATTTTATTCATTACTGACTGATATTAGTTGCAGAATCACTGAAAACCTGTGAGCACTAGACATCTGTTTTGTCCTATTGTGTGGCTCCTCAGCAACATTATATTGCGAATCGAAAGAAGTAGAAAACTATGGACCACTAAACTCCGAACCAATGATTGAATGGTTTATACGTTCGCCATGAAACCTGTAGGTCTTGGGTTTAATCCCTTCCAGAGTCGTGGGTGCGTACCTCTGAGGAAGACGTACTGCAACGAAGCAGCTCTTCAGTGCTCCTTGGTTTTCAATTATTCTCTAAATTATATCAGTTGGTGATGAATACTAGTTTAAAAGTATAAATAGGTTTATTCTAGAAAAGTCTGGTTTCTGAACGACAACGGTTCTTCTGCGATAACTTTGAGCTCGGTTCCACATGATTTTGTAGTTAAGCTCTTTTGAAGGGTCATGAAAGCTAATTAGAACTATATACACATTGCTAGTTATTAAAAATAATTTAGAAATGTTAAGCGATTTTAAAATTGTCTAACTGAAGTATTTTGTGAATTGGTTGGTCACTAGAGGGTATCTTCATCACCTGTGTCTTCTTTACATTCACTTGAAGTCCCGTATTCGCTGCCCTGCCTCTTCTGTCAACTTGTTAGTTTTTGCCTGTGGATCTTCGAGTTTGTGCGACATTAGACACAAATCATCGGCGAAATCCAAATCTTCCAGGGTTTTTCATCGGTCAAACAGCGTATACCCATCTCCCTCCATACAGTTTGTTTCATGATCCAGTTCAGTTGACCACAATCAGGAAGATGATCGGTGGTAGTAGGCGGCAACTTTTCTTACTCCTGTCTGTCTTCACTTCAAATGCATCACTGAACTTTCCATTGTGAATCACTTGGCATGTGGCACCACATGACATATAGCTGTTGAATGAGGTTGTTAAAGATTTGTGGCACTAAAGCCGTAGTGTTGAAGTAGCTGTTAAATTACTTTTCGGTCGACGCTGTCTAAGGTTTTTTCACAGTCGATGAAGTTGAGATAGAGAGTTGACTGCTATTACACGCACTGTACTATGATAATGCGTAGTGTTGCAATTTGATCCGCACATGATTTGTACTTCCTTAATCCAGCTTGTTCCGGTAGTGGTTTTGAATCCAACGCATTGTTTAGTCTCTCCAGGATGATGCGGCTTAATATTTTGCTTGCGGGGGGGGTGGAGGTGGGGTGGACAGGAGCATGATTCCGCGCCAGGGTTAGGGTTTCCGCAAAGACTTGGGTCCCCTTCGTTTGAGAGTTTGACGAGGTAGCCCTTCTTCCAATCGGTGCTTCACAACTTATAGAATATAATATTTATGATGGTGAAAAAGCATTTTATTCAACATTTTATCACAACATCTAGCTAAAACAGTCAATAGGACGTTTTATATGGGTCATCTATGCATTTATTTTAGTGGTCCGTCAGTGGTCACTCATTCTGAAACTAAACGATAGCCTAACCTATTTTAATTGTTCATCCAGCATATATCAGTTTAACTGTTTATGTGGCTTAGGTTACATATTTTGTACGATTAGGCAGGTACGTCTCGGGATACGACAGCACTTACCAGCTTGGTTTAGAAAGGGCGAAATGAAAGTGGTAAAACATTCAGTCCTAGAGCACCTAGTAGACATATTGAATCACATACATGCTAATAAAGCTCTGAATATAATTCATAGTATTCCAAAAACGATACCATATGTAGCTCTGCAAAGCCTACTCAACGTAGGCTATCGTAATAAGATTGATGGCACTGGAACTATGCATTCAGAAAGAACATGTCCTAGAGTTACTCCACCATTGACTTTCAGTAAACTCGAGGTCATTCCTATCATTTCCCATCTTTTTTTTCCACTAACACATCATTTATCTGTGTATGTGTGATCCCGAAATTGACAAACTTAAGAAGAAAAATCGCTTTTTGCACAATCCTTAAGTCTCACTGCATTTTGAAAATATATCTACCCGTAACTTGGCTTGATTTCACGCTGTACAAATATATTTTATAATTGTAGAACCTGATGAGAACACTCATTGATCATTGCTTTGATAAGTCGAAAAGAATGTTTCGATTTAGATGGAAGGTAACAAAGATTTAGGTTTATCGAAATTGATGAAGTTGGTAAGACTACTCTTGGGTTAACTATTCAGTCAGTGATAGAACAGACATTGTAGAAAAGATAGCAAACAAATGGGAGAGGGCTGTATAAAATGCTATTCTAGAATTAGTATAAGGGAAACAACATCATGGTTCAGTAAGCGTATGAAAAAGTTAACAGATTTTCATTATATTGAGCAGTAAGATGAAAGAAACAGAAAGTTATGAGGTCATGAAATTTTGTATTTAGATAGTAAGTTGAATAAAACTACCAAGGTAAAGCAAGATTGTCAACAGTATTATCTTTCTGAATACACAGATCAGCTTTGAGTCTTTTGATTGCGACAGCTTCAGCGAACTGCAAAAGGGTTTACTGACCACTTCGAACGATTTTGATATGTTGAGAAATGCAAACAGGAACCCTTCTCTTTGTTTTTCTGATGTATGTGCTGCGGCATGTTCATATGAATTGGTAGATACAGTTAGAGATAACAAGAGTTGGGAACTTGCCAACATTGGATTGTCTCAAGAAGCATTTAGTCTGATACACACAGACTATATTGGTCTCTGGACAGGTCGTTTTATTATCTTCTACAGGATATTCATTTTATCACTGCATACACAGTTAACCCTTGAGTAGTCTTAACAACTTCATCAATTTCCATTTTAGTCTGTCTATTAGAAATATCACTCAGTGAAACAGTAGCATTTACTGGATAACGTTTCGGACAGAATTTATTGTCCATATTCATATCAGGTAACTCCACAACTTCGAGACAGTCTTTGTATATTCCTAGTTTTCTCTCCTTCTCTGTGATGACAAGGGTAGCAGAATTTTCCATATATCTGGGACAGGTGCAGCATCATTTCGATTGCATGTGTTTGGTGTTGATTCGATAAATAAAGATTCGGTTATCAATCTCTCCTTCCACCCAACTAAGTTACTTTTCAATATTGTCGCCCTATCCCACCCTAATGTGTGATCGGGTGTCATCGCATGCAGAGCTATAGCCGAGTTTTTCTCTAGATTTCTTATCTTATTAGGATCTACTGATCTTGATTTAGCTAAGTTTTTGTGCTCTGTTATTCTAATCGACCGTGGTCGACTGCTTTGACCTATGTACTTGACCTCGCAATCATTGTAAGGAATCTGGTAAACCAGATTATTTTGCTTAATTGCATCGATAGGATCTTTTAACCTACAAAGCTTGTTTCTAAGTGAGTTTGTTGGTTTGAATACCACTTTAATCCCAGCCTTATTGAGAATTCTTCGTAGTGCTTCTGAGGTGCCTTCCTTGTATGGTAACACAGCAGAGGCTTTAAATTCTCTCTTAACCCTGTTGCCACTATTAACACTAGTAATGGGATTATTATTAATGACATCTGTATTACTACTACTACTACTACTACTACTACTACTACTACTACTACTACTACTACTACTACCACTGCTAATATTTTTCTTTCGATTTCTTATGAATTTATTTATAAATCTTGGTGAGTAATTATTGAGACTTAGGATATTCTTGATGTGTCTAACTTCTTGTCGCGGATCTTCCGATCTACTAGTAAGCTTTTTCGCTGTATCACCTAAACATTTAACTAGGCCTACTTTAACTGAACTGGGGTGGTGGGAGGATTCGAAGTCTAAGTAGCGATTCGAATGGGTAGGTTTCCCATAGACACTAGCCTCTAGGTTTCCTTCTTGTGTTCGTTTAATCTTACAATCCAACATTGCTAGCTCACCTTCTTCACTTTCTAAGTCACAGGTAAGTTGGATTGTATTTACTACTGAATTTATATGTGCCAAGAACCTATTGATGTGTTCCGATTTCAGTACTATAAACGTATCACCTAAATATCGGAACCATATCTTTAGAGTAGGACTAAATGTTTGAAGGGCTACCTGTTCCCAACTATCTTTCCCTCCCATACACTTTTGTATACTTAAATATCACTCTTTCTCTACCCGCTCGTACTTTGCATACTGTTGTGAAGCATAGCAGGTCTAACCCATACACTTATGCGAAATTCGTTACGTTGATTTTGTCTACCTTGCTGTTTGTATAGGTACATCCAGCTGTCGAGTTCAGAATGGGACGAAATGCGCATGCTGTATTCCACTCCTAGCCACCATCAAGTAAATCATTTTAAAATAATGTTGCGATTCGCAGTGACTACAAATATGTATCATTCTGTCATAAAAAAGGAATTGAATCATTTTCATGACAGACAGTGGAAATTTCGTAAAGACTTTTGATATAAGTACTGTTGATTATAGTGTCGGGAGTGATGTAGACACGTTAGTCCATGAATGAAACAAATAACTAAAGTCTAATTGTAAAAATGTCATACAACAAGTTATTAGAATGAATTATTACCAGTCATTATTATTCCCACAATAATATTAAAATAACCTAACTAAACGCTTATGAGTAGTATGATAAGGACATTTAAGTTATTTTCTAGTGGCAATTATTGAAAAAGAAGAACAAGAGCGGTAGTAGTAGCACGTAGAGTCTGGTTAAAATCACAATATCCTAAAATTGTTTGTTTGTTTAAAAGTGAATGCATTACAAGTACAAAAAAGCAGTGTAGAATTAACGAACCGTCTTAACAAAAAAATAAATTCCTATAATATATATTCAGAAATAATATGACAAAGGAAGATTAATTGATTGATTCGCGGAAAACAATAACAATTACATCATAAGCGATAAAGTATAAAAAGGTTCATCATTATTCTTAATAAAAGGAATAATAATAAAAGTATTTAAGATAACCGGTAAGTTATAAGGTATAGTTAGTAGTTAGTGAGTAGTATAAAGTGATAATGATAAAAAAAACATTTTCAAAAAGGAGGCTGAAATTATCAAGCAGGTAAAATTAGTATTCATGTGCATACTTGATGATGTTTTGCAGTACGTGATAAATGAATACTCAATTGTCGCATTTTCTCCATGTAACCTTTTAATTCATCGGTTAGTTGTTCACTTTCACCTTCTAATCTCTTTAAATTTGTTAGTATACCTGAAAAATAAGTAGTATATGAATTAAGTAGTAAAGACAACCAGTAGTTAATATTAATGCTGAGCGTGCAGCTCTTCGTACAGTCGGAGAGTACATATTCCGATGCTCAGGGCTTCATCATAGTATTCATTGTTTACCTACAACCTTCTATGAAATCTAGTCTATTCTTTCCTGCCATCATGGCTAGAATATTATCATCCAATCACTAAACTTCAATCCAGTGAATTACACCTAGTTCCATATAACAAGCAGTATGCTCTCACTTACATAAGAATTTTGGAATACTATTGATGATCACCTGATTATTTATATTTCCCACTAAACAACAAACAAATGAAAGAATGACTTCTGAAAGCGTTTGTTTACTGTTAAATAGCCAATCATTTGACCATCTGAGATAGCGGTTGTGGTTTCGCAGACTAGTATCTAAAAACCGGGTGATGACTGAAGGTCAAATAAAAATTTTGACGACGGCCGGATTCTAACCAGCGACCACTGAGTTACCGGGTCGATATGCTACCAACTGAGTTACGAGGTCCAACTGCTGACAAGATTTTTATTTCACTTCAATCGCCAATGGGTTGTACCCAACTACCATGTGAATTCTTGATGCGTCACTATCGCTTGATCGTATTCACACTGTCTGCTGCCTAGTCAGGACTTCTCATCCTAATCCAAATTTAACTGAATCACAGAGGGGGAGCATCACATTAATTATCATTTGACTATCTGAGATAGCTGAAAAAGTTTATTTACTGTTAAATAGGCGTAGAAACATTGATATTGACGTGTAACTTTGAAAATTAACAACAACCAGTGTAGATTCGATAGGTTTAAATTTAATTCTCAATGCTTATTGTTTAAATGTCTTCCAATTGAACATTGAAATATGATTAATATATCATCATAATTAACTCTTTAATATACAAGAAATTAAATTACCGACATTGGATAAAATCATAACTAACCTGTGAGATTTGATCAAATAACTCAATATCATCAACTTTTTGAATGATTGGCTTTTCAGTTAGTTCTTTATAAATTTTATCCGCTTCTTTTAATTGATTTACTTGTTCCATAAAATCCTTAGCTTTATCTCTGAATAGCATTGAAGAAATAGGTATAGAACGGTTAATTTACTTGGGTAAACGCGATAAATATAAAAATGTGGCATGAGGTTTATCAGGATTTTATTCATTACTGACTGATATTAGTTGCAGAATCACTGAAAACCTGTGAGCACTAGACATCTGTTTTGTCCTATTGTGTGGCTCCTCAGCAACATTATATTGCGAATCGAAAGAAGTAGAAAACTATGGACCACTAAACTCCGAACCAATGATTGAATGGTTTATACGTTCGCCATGAAACCTGTAGGTCTTGGGTTTAATCCCTTCCAGAGTCGTGGGTGCGTACCTCTGAGGAAGACGTACTGCAACGAAGCAGCTCTTCAGTGCTCCTTGGTTTTCAATTATTCTCTAAATTATATCAGTTGGTGATGAATACTAGTTTAAAAGTATAAATAGGTTTATTCTAGAAAAGTCTGGTTTCTGAACGACAACGGTTCTTCTGCGATAACTTTGAGCTCGGTTCCACATGATTTTGTAGTTAAGCTCTTTTGAAGGGTCATGAAAGCTAATTAGAACTATATACACATTGCTAGTTATTAAAAATAATTTAGAAATGTTAAGCGATTTTAAAATTGTCTAACTGAAGTATTTTGTGAATTGGTTGGTCACTAGAGAGTAACTAATTTCATGTTTTCTAGTCCTGATTACTAACCGATACCTCTCGGTCTTTTTGCAGCGTGCTCACTGAGCTAAGCGACTTATCGTCACAGTGTACTTTGATAAATCTTAATTGATTGGAGTCAATCAGCAGGAAGCAAGTAGAGTGCTGGAAGATTCAGAGGTATTCATTCTCTGCCTAAGTGTTTAGCGATCGCCTTTCTTCAAAAATTAATTTCTTGTATTAGGTTCCTTTTTTAACTCTCCCCACACACTTACTTAGATGCACATATCCACCACTCTTAGGCATTCTGTGTTTTTAATCCACTGGACAGCTCTATATGCTCATATATTTAAGTACTAGGACTTAACACCTAGCTAGATGTAAATGATACTAATCAGAGCAACAATAACAACGCTGCAATCAAATGCACTGACAGATCTAATGCCATACAAGTCAGACCTTCAACCACTGACTGGTACTTGACCAACTCCTCGTACCATATACAAATACAGTAAAATTCTTGATTGTATTGTGTTCTCTGAGCTGGGTTGTTTAATCGTGAAGCTTTCATCGCCTTGCTAGACGGCATCATCAGCACTAACTTCAATATGAAGTGAGCTATCAATATCTCTCCGTGAGTGGTTTAGTAGCTTGCTCTGACGATGTCGTCTGTGATTGGTTGTTTCCTTTGATTGTTGTGTCATTGATTGTATAGACTTTCCTGTTAGCTGTTACTCTGCTTCACCTCCCACCTTTCTGCCGTTTATCATTTTTCCTATTGGTCGATGGATCGGGTCTATGTCTGACTGACCTGAATGCCAAGCTTCTAGGAATTGCCTGACATTCTTTGTGTTTCTTCTGTCCAAAATTTCTACATTGTCGAAATTCAATTCATTTCCATAGTTGTTATCCACGTGCATTGAAATGAGTGACGAAATGTCGTGGCGTTTAATAGCTAATTGGTGCTCATGTAGACGAAGGCGAAGAGGGCGGCCGCTTTGTCCAATGTAGTGTTGACTACAGTTATTGCAGTTGATTTTGTAAATGATATTCGGTTTGTCTTCTTTGCTTGTTGCATCCTTTGGTTTGCATAATAGTGTTTGGAGGGAATTTGTTGGTTTATGAGCCACAGCAATTCCAAGTGGTCTCAGCAACCTTGTTGTGATTTCTGATATATTTTTTATGTATGGTAGGACGATGCATTTGTTGGTTGCTGTCCATGACTTTGTAGTTGGTGATTCACTGGATAGGCATCTGATAAAGTTTCGTGGGTAGACGTTCTTCTTTAGGGTTGGACATCAAATAATTTTCTCCTTATTAAAACGAAAGACATGATTAAAATGATCAGTTTGCAAATGATTAACAAACCACTCGGTTCATGTTAATACTTTTCATACCTGAGTAGTTTTACAACTGTCCAAATGTGATATCAACAGGGTTCCCATCTGAAACCACTTCTCATTCAAGATCGCAAGGTGTGATCTCTGAAACAAAAATGTCATGAGCAACTTGAATAGTTAGAAACCGCCCACGCCAGTCAACCAGATCACAGTGAGCTAAACACCGGAAAGACGTTTCGCTAATCTGAAGCCAAGCTCATCAGTGATGTATCCGAACAAATTCAGCTTGTACAGCTGAATCAGTTCACGTCATCGCTGATGAGCTTGGTACTCAGTGAGCGAAATGGCTGGCTGCTGCTTGGCTCATTTTGATCTGCTGGTGAAATCTACAAGTGGATGTAAGTGGCTTCTAACTACTCGAAGTTGTTCAGTGATCGTGTATTTTGAGAAATATGATTCTGTTCCTTTGAAGTTAGACATTTGCTTCCAAGCCGTATCGGGCAATTCTTATATCTTAAACAATATTTGATGAGTTTTAAGATGTTTGAATTTTCCCTCGGGATTCTGTTTTTAGGATTTACACTTTCATGATTTGCCTTGATTACATGTCATGTTATTGAAATCGCATTCCATAAGTTGTCTGAAACCACTTTTCACCTATTACTTATAGAGCATTTCTTGTCGGTATAGCTGCTTGGTGATTTTGTGTTGTCTTGAAAGCATGCGGCTGACACTGTCGTAGAATTTATGCTTCTTTTGAACAATTCTTCAAGTCTAGCAATTTGACCAGGTATATCAACAGGAAACTACAAAGACCAACAAACAACAACTGATAGCCATTCCACGAGTAATGACCCCTGTACCCCTTGGCTTATCAGATGACGCCTTGTCATTTGAAGCGATTAGTACTGGATTTGAGTCTCAGTGGCAACAAGACTCATACAGGTAGGTAAATTGGGTCAACTGATAAATCTCAAATAAGATGGAATCCACTGCTAACCACGACACAGACTACAGTCCTCGAGTCAATTGTTCTGTTCATAAAATGTATTTTAGATTGATTCCTAAATAATAACCAAATCTACATATTTATTAATGTTTTGTAGGTCTGAATGTGATGAGCTCAAATAAATAGACACATATACACAATCATATATCACTGTTAAACCAACCATGAAAGCTGGCAAATTCAATGTTATAAGCAGTCTACAAGGTGATCCCAACTGGAAGACCACTCAGGTTGCTAGACTGTCTACCAGTCAAATAAATAAATATATATGTTAGACACTTGAAATATCATCCTCAGGCACATAAAATCCTTTATACTTACCTAATAGTTTCAGCACGTCTCAAAAGATTCCCAGTACGCTGACGATCTGATTCCGTCTCAGCGAGTATACGAATAACTTTATCTTCTAAATTGGTTGCATATTGTTCTAACTGTTGAATTATCTCTTGTGCTTCATACTGACTAACATTCAATTTTGACTCTTGAGTGATCTCAAGATCTAATCAAATTAAAGGGAAGTGATTGAATATTACCAGGGCGAATTTTATTGTGGCTATGAATTTTAAAAGGTTAAATATCCATTAACAACTTTCAGCACAAGTTAGTGCTGATGAAATATCTGCTAGAATTTGCTTTTTACCACTATATCTACTGTGCATTAACTCGGTAAACAGAATGTGGCTTTTAAACTCAACAAGTATGAAATCTAGGTGAAGTAGGTGTCCTCTTATCAGTTGTCCCCTTCTTTCCACTTACTCTGTAATTTAAGCCCTAGATCGGTAGGGTAATCCAAAGTCAGTGTCATAGATATCTTCAAAGCGCATAATAAATATCACAAAAGTGCTGCATGATTATCTCCAGTAGACCTTGCTGAACATCATGTATATAGTGAAGAAGTAATAAACGACCCTCGTCAAGGCACGCTACTAGCAAAATTCACCATCAGGGATGGGTATTCTTAAGACCTTACCAAGCAAACTTTCATCGCAACTGAAAGTTAGCATAGTAGTCAATTTGCATACTATGATTAAAAAAAGCAAACATCAGTTTGGTAACATGCTTCCTGTTAATCCAATACCTAAAGGAACAACTGATTGTAGTGTGGTGACCTTAAACGACGGGTTCCTGCAAGCGGCAAGTACGCTATAGTCGTGACTCATACCGTTGAGATGAAGCCTAGACAAAGGACTAGTTCGACTCAGAGTCCTTACATATAACATAGTGAAGTATCTACTGCCTTTTGTAGAGCGACTGATGCATTGTCCTACTCATCTTTAAAAAGGGTCTGCGTAATGTGTGTAATAGTCACAGGAGTGTCAGCTTGCTACTGGTTACGTCTAAAGCAGTGGTCGCAATCATATTGTACAGACTATCCGAATCCCGTGGAAAACTGATCCGTAAAGAGTAGGTCGGATTTCGTTTCGGTCGTAGGTGAAGTATTCAAGTGTTCACCCTCCACTAGACACTCGAATACTGTCACGACTCTTACTAGCTGAAGATTTTCTCTGTCATCATTACTGAGGCCACCTTTGATTTTTTGGACAGAACTGTACTCTGAAATTGTCTCTTACAAAAGGGAGTCTATAAGAAATTTTTAACATCTTGAAAGCCACATACTGTAACATCTCAGATAAAATGAGGACACGCAGCCAATGGTCTTCATCGTTCCGCCCAATTTCGATTCTCTTCTTTAAGTTGGCCATATATGAAACTCTATAGACGGCCTTTATACAGGTGTATGAGGGAGTTGTAGACTTGTTAGTAGGTGAAAGAGTTTTTCAACTTGAGCATGAGCACAATATAGTTTTACTATGCGACACCATACAGGTCACTCAAATCATACTCAGTCAGTTATTAATCTCAGAAGCTAGATGCTAAAAAGCTGTACTACACCCGTTGCATAAGGAGTGGCTGTGGTAACCCACCGGGCTTATGGGTAACTCTCTGGAGTTTGAAGCGATTAGTCCCGAGTTCGAGTCTTGATGAGGACACTATCACTCACTGGAGTGCAAGCACATCTGGCCAACGAGTCCCAAATGGAATGAGATGCACGTCCAGGACTCCACTGTTAGCCGCTTTGCATCATTATAATCAAATTCGAAATTACTGGCATTGGCAAGGCATGCGCACAGGAGGTCGACCTTTATTATCCGGTACACTTCTCCCCCTAATTTATTTAGGGTGAAAGAAAGAAATTTGAAATGAAAAATGACTCGTTGGTTTCTCTGTTTAGTAGTCAATATGTTTGTGTCGCCAAGGTACTTTCCTATTGGACTAGGACACTTACTCGTAGGAATCTCATCGTTGAGCTCAGATGAGCTATCTGTATTTAGATTAGCTTATAAAACCATTGCTTGTCACATAAATTCTGTTTTCAGAGAATAATCACCTTCAGGTTACGATTAAATCCAAAATGAATTTAAAATTTGTGGAGAATTTAATCTTGTAGTGACAACGTTGTGTAAAATTTCAGGGAGCCTGTTTCAAAATGAATTTAGTGTAATTGTCGTTATGATAATTGTAATTTCCCGTTGATATACAGGGCTGAATTGCTCGAGCTCTGTTGGTATATGGGCTCCTATGCGGATACCTTGATATTGCTGCTGATTCGTGATGTGGCGTTGATCTCGGTGACTAACAGAGGACTCCAGGACTGGTGTTTTGTTCTATTTGGTACTCGGGTTAGTGAATAAGGCTCTGCCTGTTTAAGCGATGGGTACCGAGTTCGACCCACAGTGGGAACCACATCACTGACTGGGGTCCTGCTACATTCAGCTGACGAGTTCCGAGTAGTACGAAGCGCGCGTCCTGGTAGTCGCCGAGATCAATATGTATTGAGTGTAATTTATAACTGTAACTGAGGTTTGCAGGAAAATCTAGATCTTAAATGTACTAATCGAAAATTTGCACATAATGATAAGTTCTTATTTTGGTAATAATCGGAGCAAAATTACTACCTGTTATCACACCAACAGTCGGAATATTTTCTTAATAATTCACTTAAATGAAAGCTTACCATTGTTTTTAAACTTTTCGTTTGAAATGTACTTATAATATATTATTCCATTCAGCAATATACAATCTTTTCATCGATATATTTAAATCCTTGTAGGAATACACTGCTATATTGCATAAGGTGCATTTTTACGTGTATAATTCCGGCGTAGTATTGTAGTGGGCGTTGCTGATAACAACGGATATAAGTAGTATATATCGAGGGTGGCAGGAATCATAGGGAATTACCGGCAATGGGTAAGGTTTCTGCTAAGAGCAACGCAGGGGACAACACAGGCGTATTACAGGAGATGCTGCTGATAAGAGTGTATGAAGAGCCGGTCAAGAGCAAATCAAGACAGGAACAGAGAGGAAACGAAGACATTTGCAAATGACTGGGTTAGTGCAAGGAGTACCATATGTAATCAGTACCACTGAGGTCATTTAAAGTAATGTTAATTCAACAACCATCTCTTTATACATTTCAATATTGGGATTAGTACTTTTAACTGATAGGCATGATGATTGAAGGCTATTCATGAGGCTATTGCAAATAATTGAAGCAGCTTAGTAACCAAAATCTTTACGTTTTACAGTGATGATTGATGTTAACTAAAGTGTCAACATTAAAAAAATCAAGCCTCATTTGATCACTTATTTAGTTACCGTGGCTTATTTGCGACGAATCGATCTTTTAACACAGTTGCTAAGACTTGTGAGTTTAGCTCAGCCTAGCTTGATAATTAAATGAATGTGATCAATTTGAAATAATTTGCTTCCGTAGCTTAGTTTCGACTAGGATGAGTGACTTAACGAAATATTGATGAGTCAGTTGTAATCAAAGTGCCTATTAGTAGTAGCTGATAATATTTTGGAGATGAATGGAAGTAAACATTTGGTGGGAGTGAGAGACGTCTAAAAAAGTAGTTGCTAAGACTACTGAGTGTCGCCTACTACAACTGTGCTCAGAATAATACGTGACAGTATCTTTCACCTTCGGTCACCTTGCAAATGTGAATCTCGCACAACGTAGTATGTGTACGTCTGTTTCTCATACTCCTTCAGGGCGACCTTCAAAGACTCTAAGGACGGAAACGCTGCGAGACAAAAACGCTCCATAAAAATCGATTGATTTTCGGTTACAACACTGGACGGTATCGTCGCTCATCATGAAAACGAAGCAACCCATCCTCACTTTGCTCCGTTTTATAGTACCTTTGGATTTTGTGCAACCAATAACATGGGACATTCCATCGTCTATTTTAATTGGACAACAAGTGACACAGGGAGTGAGGGGGAAGGGGTAGAAAATAACATTTTTTAAAAATTATTACCGTGGACCAAATGCATTTCCTCACAGGAGTTATAATGCCAATAAAGCCCAATCAGTTCGGTTTAATCAGCGACGGGAAGTTACAGGATATAGCATAAAAATGACGAGCTCCCATTTACACTACTGTGAACCGTAAGTAGTTAGAAACCAATCAAAGTGACTGACTTCAGATTACTTTAAATAATTTCCCAAAAACAGTAACCTACCGTTTCACTCATTTTAGATCACGATTCTTATTTTTGTAAAACACTCAGCCAAATTGTTCGAATGCATCACCGGCTGCTTTTTTCAGATTTCTCTAATCTAGTTTAAAATAATCTGAAATTTATCGTGACTGACTCCCAACTGCCTATTTCATTCAGCAAACCACGTCATCAATTCTCTGAAATTTCCGTGTCAAAGGTCAGTCTGTACACTGAAGTGAGCGGTTTTCACTTGGAAACCCTGTTGACAGTACAAGTAGGTCATGTAACAACTAACCAGCTATGGTGAACTGTACTGACCGTTCAAATTTCAAATAAACTGCACTGATGTACTTGTGTGATTCGGTAAAAAATCTATTGATTTTTTAAATATTTTTCTTATAAGACGAAATAAATATGACCTTGAATCTCTGTTACTGGGTTTCCACAGCCATTTAGCAGTATTCATAACTATGATACATTGAAGTGAATTTCTAATAACTGAAAATAATAACAGGTCAAGGTGGAATTCTTAAAAAACGGAAGATAAGCGTAATGAGTTACCTGAATGTGATCAGATAGACAGGTGATATTACTGATCAGTGAAAAGCTTTACACAAAATGAAACCGTTCATGTTGACATATTTTACAGTAGCCTATTCATTACTCTAGCATGATTCACCTAGTTTTTACAATTTAGTAACATGAATTGGCGAACTGTTAAAAATGACAAGATACTGATAAGCTGTTTCACTTCTTTTTACGACTTTTCAATAGAGCCTATTCTTGAGTGCATACGGCACGAAGTTCACGGCGGAACATATTCTTATTCATTCAGCGAGGATGTTTCAGCAAATTTTTGAACTACAATCCACAGCTGAAACGTTACTATTGTGTCAAATGGACGAGAAATACTAAATAAATAAAGTAATACAATCATTTTATTTCACAAATGCTCCTGAACTACATGTATACAGCTTAAAAGTACAA